TTATATCTTTTTGGTACTATTTTTTATAATTAAGTGTCAGAGGACAAAAATCAGCCATAAAGTTGTTATATATGTTGAATAAGTACTGAGATATAGAGTTCTAAAAAAAAAGTGCCGAAGGTTCCCCAGTCTCCCCTACTGACTAAAGTCCAGTTTGATGTCCGTTAAATTTTGTTGAGATCGGTTCAGATTTAGATATAGCTACCATATATAGTTTCGTCCGATTTTATGTATAAGGTGCACCAAACTCCCAAGGATTGTCCGATTGACACAATATTTTGCACAGCGTATTGGAATATATCTGTATTGATATATATGAAGTTTTGTGCAAATCGGTGCAGATTTAGATATAGCTCCCATATATGTTTCGTCGTTTATTTTTGGTAAATGGTGCACCAAACTCCCAAGGATTGTCCGATTGATACAAAATTTTGCACAGCTTATTGAAATAGGTCCATATTTATGTATGTTTTGTGGAAATCGGTTCAGATTTACATATAGCTCGGATATATAGTTCTATCCGATTTTCAGTTTCCGATTGACACAATATTTTGCACAGCGTATTGGAATAGATCTGTATTGATGTATATGAAGTTTTCTGCAAATCGGTGCAGATTTAGATATAGCTCCCATATATAGTTTCGTCCGATTTTTGGTAAATGGTGCACCAAACTCCCAAGGATTGTCCGATTGATACAAAATTTTGCACAGCGTATTGAAATAGGTCCATATTTATGTATGTTTTGTGGAAATCGGTTCAGATTTACATATAGCTCGGATATATAGTTCTATCCGATTTTCAGTTAATGGTGCACTAAATGCCCAAAATATGGCCGATTGGCACAACATTTTGCACAACGTACTGAAGTTAATAAAGCATAACGTGTGTCATGTTTCGTTGAAATCGCTTCAGTTTTAGATGTATGTAGTTCCCATATATAATTTCGTCCGATTTTCGGCAAATAAAGCATCATAGCTCCAAAATATGGCCGATTGACACAAAATTTTGCACAACGTACTGAAATTAGTACAGCTTAACCTGTAGAAAGTTTCTCTGAAATCGGTTCAGATTTAGATATAGCTCCCATATATTGTTTCTTCTGATTTTCAGTTAACCAAAATATGGCCAATTGTCACAAAAATTTGCACAACGTACTGAAGTTAGTATAACCTAGTGTGAAGAAAGTAAAGACCCAAAATATGGCCTTGAGGTACAAAATTTTGAACAACGTCCTCTAGTTAATATATCCAGACCTGTTGCAAGTTTCGTTGAAATCGGTTAAGATTTGGTTATAGCTTCCATATATATTTTCGTGCGATTCTTAAAAGATCCACAATGGACGTACAAAATTGAGCATAGAATGACGTAAGTGTGTTTTGTGCAAATACGGGCATAGCCTATATATATTTTCGACCGACTTGATGTTAATTTGGCTCCAAATAATTATGTGATGTCCGATTAGCCCATTTTGTCCCATTGTAAACAGGCGACTCTACATCAGGGAAGGAAAATTCAGTACAATAGTACTTTTTTCAGTACCTTTTTACCCAAAAAAGTACCGTAGTACCCCCGTGACTATTTCAGTACCATTCCAATACTTCATTAAGCAATGATATATATATATATATATATATTTTTTTTTTGGATTTAGAATTTGTTATGGATTTACCGACAAAAGTATGCAGATAAAGATATTGATGTGATTGCAATATTTCTCTTGAATGAACAGGTTTTCGACTGATAACTGTTCAGTTATGATTAAAATTACAAATGGATATGTTTGTCAGATACTCAATTTGGCATACTCTGCTATCTCCTAAGGTAGGCAAATTGATGACATTCCTAGTCGTCGTGTTTACTTCAATAATTTTAAGAGCACTTTGGAACTGAAATTCATGTTAGTTTGGGGTATATGTATTGGCTTTCGAGAAAGAGGTAATGAATTTGAAATTAGTCAGTAGCATACATATTCAAATGCAATCGAAAGAAGCAAGAATTCTCATATTATTACCATCAGAAAGATACACTAAGTGATATCTTGAAAATCGATCTTTATGAAACTGAATAAAATATATATTTTTTTGTATTTTCTTGAAAAAAGTACCCTTTTATTAAAAAATGTACTCTTTTGGTACCTTTTCACATTTTTTATTTTCCATCCCTGCTCTACATTGGTCGAAATGACATGTTTATGAATTAATCTATGTCGGTTAACATTTAGATAAGGATCACGTATTTTAGTTCATCCAATTTCATGTTAATGGTTTTTCAAAAATGCGACGTCTATAATGATGCATCTGTTGAATGATCGGCTACGTCCGACTTTACTACATTCCTACTGTTTTTTCTATAAAAAAAACACCTTTGGGTCGATTCATTATCAAATTTAAACAATTCTCAAATCGATAAAATATTATAACGACAAAATATCGTTACTGAAACGACCTACTGGGGTCTTCCGAATTTTTTCTTTAGAAAACGAAGAACTTGTGCAAACAAGAGACCTGTGGTACTTCGAATTTCGTACAAACAAACCTGCGGACCTTAGAATTTTTCTATAGAAAAACAAAAGAACTGCGGTCTTAGAAATTTTTTTTATAAAAAAGAGACTTGGGATCTGTAGAATTTTTTCTAAAGAAAGCAATAAACCAGTGGCCGATAGCATTTTGGATAGTCGTTGTGTTTCCGTGCGACATTTGCATGCATCAGATCGAATTATGTATGTGAGTTATATGTAAACCGATTTCAATGTAGTACGCTATAAAAATTTAGTTTAACTCGCACACTATTTAAATAATGTCTGAAACAATTTCAATCGATACTGATCGAGCTCGTTCAAGGCTTAATTAGATACAAAGTTCTTTCTTATCGAAAGAATCATAATTCCAAATATGTTTCGGATCATAAAAGAGTAGGATATAACAACCTTAGATTACAATTTTCCACAATTTGTATTTCTAATAATTATAACAGATTTTCCTTCATTCTGGATTTTAATATCTGTTTTAAGACTTCACGTCCATTTTAATTCGAGTGTAAAAATAAGATCGGACAGACATTTAGCGGTACATTTTGTCGTCTCTCTATCTCTCTCATTGTCGTATTTTGTGTGACAGCAATTTTGAATGGGACTTTTTCTTACGTGACATTGTAACAGGTTTATTGATGCTGTTTCTGCGCCTTTTCGTGTCTACGTTAATGCCTTTGTAGAGTGTGGCTAATGTAATAACCGGGGGAACTTGCAACAGACGCGGTTACGATGCATCAGCAAAACGAGACAAAAGCAAAATAAACAAAGAGAAGAAAAAAAGAAAAAGAAAACTAACAGTTGCAACATTCATGTCGATGTTGCATTGGTGTCAAGAACAGTTGTGTCTTTGGATGGGGAACAATGGAACTCTTGTTGGGGGGAGGTTTTTCTCTTACCTGCCTCACTGTGGGATTTGTTACACATTTAGTAAACTGAATTGGTTTTGTTAAACTGTGTGTGTTTTTGGTTGACAAAAGCCCATAAATAAGTCTGCATCCTCGCATGATTCAGATGCTGTTGCTTCTGGTGATGATGATGATGACATTGTTTTCTTCGAGAAGTACAATTGAGGGTGAAGATAGAGTTTGCGTGAGATTTTCTTTTTGCCTAGGAATTGATTAGATAAGGTTTTTGGACATTATTCTTAGTTTCCCCCAATGAGAATAAGTTTTGTACGCTAAATGAACGGTAAATATTTGTGGTGAAGTTTAATTTGAATTTAATTTGAGTTTTCTGTCTGAAACTAAAACGCTTCTTGAAAGCTTTTGTGTGAGTGGGAACAATTAAGTGCTCTTAGTATTTGTTTTGCTTGTGATTTTCTTTCTTGGCCCCATAATTACAAGGGAATTTTTTCTTAATTTTTTTATTTAATTCGACACTTAACTTTAGAAATTGTCGTAAATTAGGCACAAGACATCAATTTGCTAAATAGTTAAAGTTGGGTTTAATAGCGCTATTGGGAATATTACTTAGCATCATAATTTAAGAGAACAAAAGGGTGTCCAGTTTTTGGAGTTACAAAATATTTTAACATGTATAAAAGGTGTTCTATCTTTTAACTACTCTGGTCCCTCTAGGCAGCATACGAGGACAGTATTTACTGTGTATTCATTTAGCACATCAGCAACGGCATCAGTGTATATGCTATTCAGACCTGATCGATAGGTATCTTGATGTAGAGACTCCCTTTTTATAACCTTCAACACACTGTGGTACAGGGTATTATGTCTTTGTGCATATGTTTGCAACAGGCAAAAGGAAATGAGATAGACAATATGCATAGAATCACTTTCTAAGTCGATTTATGCATGTCCGTCCGTCTGTCTGTCCATGTTAAATTGTAAGCAAAGTACAGGTCGCACTTATTCGGCCCAAGGACAAACCCTATTGAAATTAGGAAAAATCGGTTCAGATTTAGATATAGCTCCCATATATATATATATATATATATATTTAACCGATTTAATGTAAACGGTCCCTATATATCTTTCGATTTGCACGAAATTTGGTACAGCCTAATCATTTAGGTCTAGAATGATGTCTGCCAAGTTTCGTGAAACTCGGTCCAGATTTAGATATAGCTCCCATATATATTTTTGTCCGATTTCATGTAAATGGTGCCCCTAAAGTTCCTAATATATTTTTCGATTTGCACGAAGTTTGGCATAACGTACTGAATTAAGCCTAGAGTGATGTCTGCCAAGTTTCGTGAATATCGCTCCAGATTTAGATTTAGCTCCCATATATATTTTCGTCCGATTTAATGTAAATGGTGCACCAAAGCCCACATATATCTTTCGATATGCACGAAATTTGGCATAGCGTACTGAATTTAGTCCAGAATGATGTGTGACAAGTTTCGTGAAAATCGGTTGAGATTTAGATACAGCTCCCTTATATTATAGATTGATTTTAAGTAATTGACACACCAAGGAATCAATAGGATAGGTACAAAACGTACTGAAATTAATAAAGAGTGATTTGTTAAGAGCTTAATAACTTTTTAAAAAAAAAAACGCATAACATTTGCAAAATCTCATCGTTTCTTTATTTGAAACGTTAGATTGGTCCATGACATTTACTTTTTGAAGATAATTTCATTTAAATGTTGACCGCGGCTGCGTCTTAGGTGGTCCATTCGGAAAGTCCAATTTTGGGCAACTTTTTCGAGCATTTCGGCCGGAATAGCCCGAATTTCTTCGGAAATGTTGTTTTCCAAAGCTGGAATAGTTGCTGGCTTATTTCTGTAGACTTTAGACTTGACGTAGCCCCATAAACAATAGTCTAAAGGCGTCAAATCGCATGATCTTGGTGGCCAACTTACCGGTCCATTTCTTGAGATGAATTGTTCTCCGAAGTTTTCCCTCAAAATGGCCATAGAATCGCGAGCTGTGTGGCATGTGGCGCCATCTTGTTGAAACCACATGTCAACCAAGTTCAGTTCTTCCATTTTTGGCAACAAAAAGTTTGTTAGCATCGAACGATAGCGATCGCCATTCACCGTAACGTTGCGTCCAACAGCATTTTTGAAAAAATACGGTCCAATGATTCCACCAGCGTACAAACCACACCAAACAGTGCATTTTTCGGGATGCATGGTCAGTTCTTGAACGGCTTCTGGTTGCTCTTCACTCCAAATGCGGCAATTTTGCTTATTTACGTAGCCATTCAACCAGAAATGAGCCTCATCGCTGAACAAAATTTGTCGATAAAAAAGAGGATTTTCTACCAACTTTTCTAGGGCCCATTCACTGAAAATTCGACGTTGTGGCAGATCGTTCGGCTTCAGTTCTTGCACGAGCTGTATTTTATACGGTTTTACACCAAGATCTTTGCGTAAAATCTTCCATGTGGTCGAATAACACAAACCCAACTTTTGCGAACGGCGACGAATCGACATTTCACGGTCTTCAGCAACACTCTCAGAAACAGACGCAATATTCTCTTCTGTACGCACTGTACGCATTCGTGTGGTTGGTTTAATGTCCAATAAATTAAACTGAGTGCGAAACTTGGTCACAATCGCATTAATTGTTTGCTCACTTGGTCGATTATGTAGACCATAAATCGGACGTAAAGCGCGAAACACATTTCGAACCGAACACTGATTTTGGTAATAAAATTCAATGATTTGCAAGCGTTGCTCGTTAGTAAGTCTATTCATGATGAAATGTCAAAGCATACTGAGCATCTTTCTCTTTGACACCATGTCTGAAATCCCACGTGATCTGTCAAATACTAATGCATGAAAATCCTAACCTCAAAAAAATCACCCTTTATAACGTAACCTGTGACAAGTTTCATTGGAATCATATTTGGATATAGCTCCCAGATATATTATCGTCCGATTTGAAGTAAATGGTGCATCAAACTCCTCATGTTTGTCAGATTGTCTGAAATGTTGCTGAATGTACAAAATTGAGCATAGAATTACGTAGATCTAGGTAGATTCACATTTATATATATAACATATTTTATTTCATCCAATTTCATGTTAATAGTCCTGTTCAATATACCCATATTGGCGAAGGGTATCATATAGTCCGACTTTACTACTTTCCTTACTGGTTAATGTTGGACAACTCTCTCTAGATCATACGTATCGTTCCTGACACGCCTGGTTGTAGTCTGATCTGAAGCTCACGTGAGGAATAGTTTTCAACCTCTAAGAACATTCTGTGAATAACTACGGCTAAAACTTTCAAAATATCCAAAAATATTGGGACCTTTATATGGGTAGGTCAAAATATGGACTCATTTCGAAAACGTTCTTCCAATTGGTTTCAAAGCCTCTCAAAAT